TTCATTTCAACCCTGGTGAATCTAATGATTATGTGCCTTGGGGTTGCTCTTCTTGAGGAATATCTTTGTGGTGTTCTCTGTATTACCAGGGGTTGAATATTGTCCTGCTTTGCTAGATTGGGAAAGTTTTCCTGAATATCCGGAAGAGTATTTTCCAGCTTGGATTCATTCTCTTTGTTACATTCAGGTACATCTATCAAATGTAAATTAGGTCTTTTCACATAGTCCCATATTTCTTGGAGACTTTGCTCATTTCTTTTTATCCTTTTTTCTTAAGGAATCAGAAAGTATTTTAGGCCTTGTGATTCATACAGTTTCTTGTAGCACAAAAGCAGCTGTAGACAATATGTACATGAATAAGAATGGCTGTATTCTAGTAAAATTTTATTTACAAAAATAGATGACCAGCTAGCAGGCTGTAATTTGCCAATTCCTGCATAAGAAAAAAGCTCAGAATTTTTAATTTTCTTTTGGAGATCATGCCACTGAACTCCAGCTCTATCACCCAGGCTGGAGTTCCATGGCATGATCACTGCAGCTTCAACCTCCCTTGCTCAGCCAATCCCCCCATCTCAGCCTCCTGAGTAGCTGTGATTACAGGTACATACCACCACACCCAGCTAATTTTGGGGATTTTTTGGTAGAAACTCGGTTTTGCCATGTTGCCCAGGGTGGTTAGCTCAGAATTTATTGCATGATGTAGAAGAAAAATATAACTCAGCAAATTCAGAAAGGTTGAAGATGACTGGCAAGAAAATACTATAATATCCTGTGAGAGGACTACTGAGAATGTTTAGTTTTTGCTATTATAGGAAATAATGAATTAAAATTATGAAAAGTGTGGTGAACACATTCTAAGGTGGTCCCTATGATTCCTGTCTCCTGGTATTCATGCCTTTGTATATGTCTTCCTCTTGAGTGCAGCAGAATCTACAACTTGCTTCTAACCAAAAGGTTATGGTAAAGGTGATGGGATGTCACTTCTGTTACAAAAGGCTATAACATTTTCGCTGAGGGACATTCTCCCTTCTTGGTTTTGAAGGAACATGATGCCATCTTCTGAGATGCCCTATGGAGAGGGCAGCCTCTGGCTGTCAACCAGCAAGGAGCTGAATGTTGCAAAAAATCACATGAGTTTAAAAGCAGATAGTTCCCCTGTCAAGCCTTCAGATGAGAACCCAGCCCTGGCTGATACTTATATTACAAGCTTGCTGAGGACTCAGTGGGAGTGTGCCTGGATTCCTGATCTAAAGAAACTATAAGATAAATAAATGTGTGTTTATAAACTGTAGAATTTGTGTTGATATTGTTATACAGAAATACTTAATACAAAAGTACACTGATAACAGGTTTAATGAATTGTCCAAAAGTATATCATTTATCTCCCATGTGGAGAACTAAAATCATATAATTAATGTAAATGATTATTTAAAAAATATATATTGATAAATGTCACCTATTATTTTAATTACTGACAACTTCTATTAAACCTTTTCAATGCTCAATATCTTTGCAAATAAGGATCCTTTATTTAAAGAGACTGTGTAAACTCGAAATATTTATGCTATCAATTAACTTTTGAAACTTTTAAGGTGTTCCAAATTTACCCAGGTAACAGACTGTCAGAAACAATTTAGATAAAATACCTCAAAGCTTATTCCAGTACTTAAGCATTAAACAGTTTAAGAAAAATCTATCTTTGATTTTTTGTTTTATTAATTGACAACCATCTTAAATTTTTAAAGTACACAGTGGAGTCCCTTAGGTCTTCAAATTATTCCCCAGAAAATTTCCTTTCATGTGTTCACATTTATTTTGCTATATTCTGGAAGGTCTAGAGTAGACTTATTCCAGGTTTCTCTTGCAGTGCTTTTAGCTCTAGTTTCCACAGTTAAAATGTTACTGAAGCTGTAAATGTAGTATTCTGAAAGCCTACACTCATGCGCAGGTACACACTTCCACATAAACCGCCTTGGTAAATGAATAAACTATTTCATGAGAAAATGGTTAAAAAGTTGGAAATCTGTATCAATGCAAATAATCTTCATGTTTTAATTTTCTCTTCCTTCTGGAATTAAAAAAGTCTTTCAGTGATGAGCAATACAGTAATACACTAGGCTCCTAAACACTGAACTAAAATCCTCATATTTTTATATATTGAAATCCATCTTCAAGTGGGTTTTGTTCATTGTACAAGTCACACAGACTTGGGAATGAAAAAAATTAGAGAATGGGGGCCAGGTATGGTGGCTCTCACCAATAATCCCAGCACTTTGCAGGGCAGAGGCAGGAGGACTGCTTGAGGCCTGAAGTTCAAGAACAGCCTAGGCAATAGAGTAAGGCCCTATCCTGACAGAAAATACAAATAAAAAATTAGCAGGGCATGGTGGTGTGTGGCTGTAGTCCCAGCTACTCAGGAGGCTGAGAAGAGAGGACTACTTAAGCTCAGGAGTTGGGAGCTTTAGTGAGCTATGATCATGGCATTGCAGTCTACCCTGGGCAACAGGGCTAGACTCAACACTTAAAAAAAATAAAACAAAGTGGAGAACCTCATTTGCTAATCTAATCTAATTGGACTGGTAAATATTATAATGTGTGATAATATACAAGTGTTGTCAAGGGTAAGATTAGGGTAAACTGATATAATTGTTGGCTGAAGCATATGACAGGACAACCTTTTGGGAGAGCCATCTAATAATAGCTAACAAAATTTAACATGCCTCAATAAAGCAAGTCTATATCTTAGAGTTTATTCTACAGATATTTACATATATGTGCAAAGGTTATACACAAGATTATGCACAATAGCATTCCTAGTAATAGAAAACAATGGAATTTAAATTTTTCAGTAGACAACTATTACAATAAATTATGACATATCTATACAATAAAATCCTATGCAGTTGTTAACAAGAATGAAGTAGTACATCTTTATAAATGCACATGGATTAAGGTCTAAGATGTATTAAGTAGATAAAGCAAGGTGTGGAATGCTCCCATGTATATTACTTACATAGAAATATTTGGGTGGAATACCCAGGATGCTATAATTTCTAGGGACAGAGACTGAGGATCTGAAAAAGCAACCTAATTTTCTTTACATACTCTTTTCTATTTTATGTATTTATTTATACCAAACATGTAAATTATTTTCTCAATAAACACCTTCCTTCAGGCATTCTTTATTTACCATAAGATACACTCTTAAAAATGTAACTGAGATAATCATTTCCATAATTTCTTGATCACAGGTTATTTTTCTCTCTTACATGTACTGTTAATAATTCTGTCTTCACAGTCCTTAAATAGTAATTTAATGTCTCATGGGTGACATAAGTATCTCATAGGTCATATTTTACTTAGCTTTTATTAAAAGCTGTCTAATATTTGGATACTCAGGCACTAAATTCTAGGTAAATTTCCAGAAGATTATACTGTATTGATCAAAGTAAGCAACCAGTAAGAAGTTGGCAGATACTCAGCAGCCAAGAGCCACGTGGAAATTAATGGCTGAATTCAGAGAACACAGGCCCAAATTATTAAATGGCATAATTTAAGAAAACTAATGTATTACATATTTAATAGCAATATACTACAACTATATAAACTGATCTAACAAATGCTGTATACCTGAAGATGTTTTTAGCACTCCCTATATATTGCTTTCTATTTTAAAGACAAAACTTTTTGACTGGAATGGAGAAATGCTGATCATGTGAAATAAGGATTTTCATAGTGCTGCAACTTTGATCCCTATTGTGCATTAATTTGTAAAGGATTCTTAAATATCGAGAAATTTGAAAATTCATTAAAAGAAAAAAATCTCCACAAATGTGAGTTTTACTTTACTACTTGAAAGTGTAATAATCTAAAAACAGATGTCATTCCTATTTTACTATTTGTGTATATTAAATAAAACATTTGAGAAAACTTTACAGCACAATTATTAAAAAAATGGGTTTTGGAGTCACATAGAATTCAAGTCCTGGTTCTCATATTAACTATAGAATAGTGGGAAAACTACTCCAGCCTTGTGAGCCTCATTTCCTCATGTATAAAATAGAGATAACATTAAGTATATTTAGCATCTTATGAGGTTGTTGTATTAAGTAAAAAAAAAACCATATGATGCACTTTGCACAAAATATGATCAACAGTAACAGTTAAATAAAGGGTAGCTCTCACTACTAATATTATTACTCTTCAATTATCCTGTATAGATGAGGAATAAAATGTTCTACGTAACTTTCTCCTTTACTGACAAATTCTTATGTACATGCCAAAGCATCACCACTGTGTATTTTAGTCACTCTTGGGGCAAATTCAGCCAAAATACTTACTGCGTTTTTTTGTTATCTTAGAGGTCAATAAATATTTGGTACCTGGTACTAATAACTCTGTCTAGATTAACACGTTTATTTTATAGTCCTAGTATGGTGAGTTCAGGTCATATTACATTTGGATTGTTGTATTTAAGTCTGGACGTGGTTCAAGAGACAATGAATGCCAGACTAGAAGGTACAATTATGGTTATACACTTAAATAAGGACTCTTGTCACTTTAAAGATTAACAAATCTATGAGTTACTACTTTGTTACTTTTGTTTCAATAAAAAGATAATGAGAAAATTATGTGACATATACAATGGACTTAACATTTTGTCAAATTGATTCTGTAATAATCACACTCTAAACACTGAAATTTTCCAAAAAATTCAACTCACACTAATTTTAGTCTTTAAAAAAAAACGGAGCACAATGCACTGTGAACACTTTTAAGCTATAAGAGCTATATGTTCAGATATTTTTGCTGAATTTATTTCAAATTCAGATCAATATTAGAATTTAAAATAGAACTTAAGTCAATACCTCTCTAATTTATCTTAACTTCTGTAGTGTTAATGATTTAAATACTTAATTTTGGAATGGGAAATGCGTACAACGATTATGCTCAACAGAAAACAATAATAGAGGAGAGCAAAGCATGTATTTTGTACTAACCAATTAGAAGAACTGTTCCAACGGCTAAACCTCCACCTGGAAGTGAAACAAAACCAAACAAAAATTAATCTACATTTTCCATTACCTTTAGCATAAAAGTTATGCTTTATGAAGGAAAGGCACTTCAGTAACTTTAAAACTACAGTTGCAAACAACATTTTAATTACCTTTGCAATACTTTGCTCTAAGTGCTATTATGAAATAATTACATGTTATATGTAATTACACAGTACACATTACAATTACTTACTTTCTTTTTTTTTGAGATGGAGTCTTGTTCTATCGCCCAGACTGGAGTGCAGTGGCAGGATCTCTGCTTGGCTCACTGCAACCTCCCGCTCCTGGGTTCAAGTGATTCTCCTGCTTCAGCCTCTTGAGTAACTGGGATTACAGGTGCCTGCCACCACATCCAGAGCCACTGTGCCTGGCCTACAATTACTTTCATAATTTACTGTACTATCCATCTTTCTCCTCTGACAGAACCATTCAGCATTCAACATAACTGTGCTTAAACACTCCAATGTTATATTTAACACTTGTTAATAAATTAACTCAATACCCAAGACTTAAATGTGCACAGTAACTTAACTACTATAGAAGTACAACATAGATAAGATTATAGAAATTCCACATTAATATTTATCTTCAAATTTAGTAAGCCTTTGAGTAAAGAACTGATGACTAAAGCTAATTCTTTTTTATTATGACTAATATACACGAAGTCTGGATATGCTCTAAATATATTTACAATTTAAAAGGAACACATTTGCCATTTCAAACAGAAAAAGATCATCATCACAAAAATACATTTTCAATATTACTGGACAGTGTTATTTTAAAAATGTGAATTAGGCCAGGCACAGTGACTCAGGTCTGTAGTCCCAGCACTTTGGGAGGTTGAAGTGGGTGGACTGCTTGAGGCCTGGAGTTCAAAACCAGCCCGAACAACATGGTGAAATCCTGTTGCTACTAAAAATACAAAAAAATTAGCTGCATGTGGTGGCACATGCCTGTAATCCCAGCTACTCAGGAGGCTGAGACACAAGAATTTATTTTTTTGAGATACAGTCTCACTCTATTGCCTGGGTTGGAGTGCAGTGGTGCAATCTCGGCTCACTGCAACCTCTGTCTCCCAGGTTCAACAGATTCTCCTGCCTCAGCCTCCAGAGTAGCTGGGATTGTAGGCACCCACCACTACACCCAGCTAATTTTTGTATTTTTGGTAGAGACGTGGTTTCACCATGCTGGCCAGGATGGTCTTGAACTCCTGATCTCATGATTCGTCTGTCTCGGTCTCCCTACGTGCTGGGATTACCGGCGTGAGCCACTGTGCCCTGCCTGAGACCAAAATTGTTTGAACCTAGGAGGCGGAGGTTGCGGTGAATTGAGATTGCACCACTGCACTCCAGTCTGGGTGGCAGAGCGAGAATCTGTCACAAAAAAAAAAAAAAAAAAAAAGAATTAGGGCAATATAATCATGAAATATATAATTCAAATGGTGAACGATTAAAAGTCAATTTAATATTAGTTTTAGGGCTGGGCACAGTGGCTCACACTTGTAATCCCAGCACTTTGGGAGGCCGAGGCAGGTTGATCACCTGAAGCTGGGAGTTTGAGACCAGCTTCACCAACATGGAGAAACCCCTTCCCTACTAAAAATACAAAATTAGCTGGGCATGGTGGTTTATGCCTGTAATCCCAGCTACTCAGGAGGCTGAGGCAGGAGAATCACTTGAACCCAGAAGGTGGGGCTTTTGGTGAGCCGAGACTGAGCCAATGCACTCGATAATGAGCAACAAGAGCAAAACTCTGTCTCAAAAAAAGAAAAAAAATTAGAACTACACTAAAACATTTGAGTACTGATACTTTGCTCTTCAGTACTCAAACTACTGAGTTTATAAAACTATTACCAATTTGATTAATGTCTCAAATACAAATTCCCTTAAAAATTTTAAAAATGAATATGAAAGAATGAATAGAAATGCACTTAAAGTATAATTTAAAAAACACTCAAAGTTGTCGGTCAACCGGAGACAATAGTTTGGGTTTTTTTGTTTTGTTTTTTTTTTTTTTGCATACAAAGCTATGAAAGAAACATTTAGAACACCAATAAAGAACTTTTCGCAAAAAGTTTTGTAGTCAGTAACAAAAGTTCCTTTGATAGGCCAGGCATGGTGGCTCATGCCTGCAACCCAGCACTTTGGGAGGCCAAAGTGGGTAGATCCCATAAGCTCAAGAGCCCTTTGAGATCATCCTGGCCAACATGGTGAAACCCTGTTAGCCACATGGGGTGGTCTGCTCCTGTAATCCCAGCTACTCAGGACCCGGGAGGCTGAGGCATGAGCATCACTTGAACCCGGCAGGCGGAGGTTGCACTGAGCTGAGATCACACCACTGCACTCCAGCCTGGGCCACAGAGCAAGACTCTGTCTAAGAAAAAAAAAAAAAAAAGGTCTTTTGATAGTGTTTATTTTTTGCCTTGCAAATAAGTATAACAGTTACATTTCAAACAGTTTGAAATCTGGTAACATAGATGGTACCTAGAATAAAATGCAACATGTGACTTATGCTAAGTGATTTACAGTGAGGCTAAACATCAATTTTATGACAATATGTAGAACATTTCAGACTCTTAGGGAAGGAAATAATGAAAAAACCTATTGTTTTTAAATGTTTTAATGTTTAAGTTTATATATTTACAAGAACTTTATATTTAAGGTTCACATTTAGACAGGTTCCTTCATTACAGCACTTAAAGCCATACCAGACTACATAGAATAACTTTACTCCTTAGATGAAAAGATAAACATAAATGGAAATATGTATCATGAAAGCCATCAAAAAGGATCAGGTCCAGGGTCAGTGGCTCAAGGATGTAATCCCAGCACTTTGGGAGGCCAAGGTAGGCAGATCACTTGAGCTCAAGAGTTTGAGACAAGTCTGGACAACATGGTAAAACTCTATCTCTACAAAAAATACAAAAATTAGTGAGGCATGCTGGGGGGTTGTAGCAGGAGGATCACTTGAGCGTGGAAAGTTGTGGCTGCAGTGAGCAGTGTTTGCACCACTGCACTCCAGCCTGGGTAACAAGGTGAGACCCAGTCACAAACAAAAGGATCAGAATAAAGGGTTTGTTTTGGGATAAGATTAATGTTTAATTTCATAGTGACGCACTAATGTTTTAATCCATTTGAACATCTTACATCATACTTCCTTACTTTCCTTTAAATGCAAAAATAAACATTTAATTACCTAATAGATGTTTACATACATATAAGGAGGTGAAGTAATGTAAGCAAACAAGAGACATTATGGTATCTAAGCTAGAGCAGGCACTATTACAAAGTTTATTACTTTAACGTATTTCCTATAGGGAGTATTAAGTTTTCTTATCTAACCTCTTGAGTTACATTTATGTCTCCTCAAATAAGGAATTTATATAAGGCCTCCAATGGGACAGACAGAGAAGTAAAGATTTTTTAACATTCACTATGGGACAATGAGAAAAGATCACGAAACAGTTTTCCAATTAAAAGAATGATTACCAAGCACAGGTGCCTGGCCCAGGGAGGTACTCAGAAAGAGCTACCTTTACCATTCTGGTAATACTTTTTTTGGTGGGTAGGGAGGTGACTGGGTGTTATCGTGTTGGCTGGATTGGAGTGCAGTGGTACAATCATGGTTCACTGCAGCTTCAACCTCCCAGGCTAAAGGGATTCTCCTACCTCAGCCTCTGAAAGAGCTGGGATTATACACACATGTTACCATGACTGGCTAATTCTTTTTTAATTCTTTCTTTGTAGAGATGGGGTCTCACTATATTGCCCAGGATGGTTTGGAACTCCTGGGCTCAAACTAGCCTCCCACCTTGGCCTCCCCAAGTGTTGAGTACAGGCATGAGTGACCATGCTGGCCTAAAAATCTCATGTGTATTAAAATTCTAATATTTAGAAAATGTGGACATTAAGACATAATGGGGACATATTAAAATCATTTTTATCAACCAAATATCTTCTCAAACTTCTTTTACAAAAACATAAGAAGGCTCTATTATGTAAATTCACTAGATTCACATTTAGGTTGGTTCTAGTAAAGTTTGGTCATTGTGAATGTTAGGTATGGGGAATAAGATGTAACTCATTAAGTAATTTAAACTTATTAACTAATTTAATGCTTTAAAAAAAATCAAGCTTTTTTTCTATGTGTATTAAGATAATTTTGACCTATACATATACATATACATTTCTATGTGTATTAAGATAATTTTGACCTCCCAGGGCTTAGGGATCCTCCCCCTGTCAGCCTCCCGAGTAGCTGGGACTGCAGGTGTGCACCACCAAGCTTGGGTAATTTTTGTATGCATACAGCAGCAATACTTCTCTATTCTTCTAAACTTGAGTTAGTGAGACACGATCTCAAAGCATCTCCACAAGATACCGCTGTGTAAGGTATTTTGATGTCTCTTACTTAATAAATGGAAGGTCTAGCTGCATTTTAACTTAAAAGTTTGAATGTTTGTAGCCATGCTCCCATCAAAAAATAAATAAATGAAAAGCCACCAACCAACCACAAATAGCATACCCTGACGTATTCTTTGAAAGCTAGCTTTTAATTTACTTTTAAATTTAGAAACCATTAGTAATTTTATCTAATTCCAAAAGCAACATAGACTTCACACTAATAGTTCCCAATTAAAATTGAAATACCTTTTCCCAACAGTCCACTAAAATGTATTACAGATAATAGGGCAACAAAGCAATCATCTTACTTCTGTAACGAAAACAAACAAGAAAAGGAGTAAAATGGCCTTATTTACCACTTCCTCTCCCCTTTCATCCTAACTTAGAAAAATTACCAACACACTTTCTAAGTCACTAAGCAAAATAAACTCTTCTTTTTTTGAGACAGGGTCTCACTGTCACCTAGGCTACGGGGAGTGGTGTGATCACTGCTCACTGCAGCCTTGACCTCCCAGGGCTTAGGGATCCTCCCACTGTCAGCCTCCCGAGTAGCTGGGACTACAGGTGTGCACCACCAAGCTTGGATAATTTTTGTATTTTCTGAAGAGCCAGTATTTATCTATGTTGCCCAGGCTTGTCTCAAACTCCTGGGCTCATGTAATACACCCATCTTGGCTTCCCAAAGTGCTGGGATTACAGGTGTGAGCAAGCACACTTGGCCAGCAAATAAACTGTTGGTGTTACTTCTAGACCCCTTTAAGATGTATATTTATTTCCAGCTTACTAAAAATACAAGTAGAGGACTTCACGTACACAAAACAATACAGGAGTTTAAATGTTAAAGATAATCAGCAAGCTTGACATTTTGAAGAATTAATTTCATCAAGTTTTTACATCTTTTCAAAATAGGCTTTTTTCTTAAAACCAGAAACAATATTTTATACCTAGGAAATAATATCAGAAAATTTAAGATCTTGTAAATGCCAGGATCTTCCTATCTTATGATTTTTAAAATCATAAGACAACCACAGGGCTTTTGTTGCTTCAATTCACACAGTAGTAAGACAACTGTATTAGTACTATGAATATTTTAAAGGGAGAGCATTCAATCCCCACACTGTCCCCAATACAAACCTCTGATTAAGCTATAATTTTTAGTAAATGAAGTCAAATTAATACACTAGAATATGAAGGTCTTTCTTCAATGTTAGAGAAAGTAAAAGGGAAAAGAAATGAAAGTCAGGAAAGGTAACAGTAATTTATGCCAGTCCTTTCAGAGCTCTATATAAAGGAATAATTTTGCTTAAAATTATAAAAAAGTATTTTTGGGAAAATGCAATTTAAAAAAACAAGTTCATATTGTTTCCTTGGTTCGCAGTAATAGCCTTCACTACTGAATTAATGCTGGACCTCAAATTAAATTGCAGTTATTTTGATAACAAGTCTACTTTTTCTTCCCTGAGCATGATAATATATCGTGACTACTCTTCATTATGACACAATTATTGGCTAGGTAAACATGAGAATCAAAATAAATCTAGGAATCATAAAAATAGTTCTGTAGATTAAGTCACAGGAAACAATTTTACATAGCAATAAAAAAGTACATTTTTTTAAATGTACAGCTTATTCGTTGCTAAAATATCCTAACCAAGATTGTGTTAAATATGTAGTCCAAGCTCAACGTACATTATCCCATGCTACACATTAACATATAGTAAAGGAAATAAGCCCACTAGTGTTTACTTTTTGACATCAGTGTTAAAAAATGGCTGCTACCATCTCGCTCCTTTCAGAGTACTCTTCCTAGACTATTATTTACCTCAAATCCCTATTTGACGATCAAAATTTAACAGCACAGAGGTCAAATCTGCAGTTACCCTTCCTTTAAGCATCTTTCCAGAGGATGAAGTTGTGGATAATTCTCCTAGGTTAGACATATGGTCCTAACATGGAGTATACTTTTATGGGGAATGGGGGTTGCAGCGGGGAATTCTGCCAGAGTTCTTTTCCTGCTATAATCTTACTTTGGAAACCCCTGGAAGAGAAATGAAGTATTTATTCAATCGATGGAATATCTATCTTTCCTTTTCCAAAATATAAGTGTTAATTTCATATAGTATCCTCAAATAACAATATAAATATCCTAGAAGGGCAAGGTTGAGAACATGGGTGAGATAAGCTGAGAATTCTAAAAATTTAAATGTAGCTAACTTGTGAAATGTATTTCAATATCTCATAATAAAATTAGGTTGCCAGAACAAAACATTTAATATAATTAGGTCACATTTGAAAGAGGCAGATATTAGGAATTTTCAAATTTCTGAAACATTTTGGAATAAGTAATGAAAATAGTGTATCATCAAATGACTAAGAATTAGTATGTATGATGCCTTTCAAATATATTTTGCATCTATGTTTAAAATCACAATGATGTCATGTGGCAATAATAAAATGTCACTGTACTACATGGAAGCTATATTTACTTGTTACACAGTAACCACATAATATATTTTAGCCATTAATCATAATATCACAGTATAGTCTTACCATTCTAATACCATAACATCCTATTATCATCTTTTGTCACAATATGGTCATACTGGGCTTGCCACAACTTGAGTTAAATAACAACATAGTCTAAATTGCTTATACAGAAAATTGGAATACAAAAATGTCATTAAGAGGATAACACTAAAATACTTCTGGACATATTTATTTTTCAAGATGTAGTCAATTCTATTAAAACTTCTTCAACTTTGCATTTTGAGAATTAACTGCATGCATGAAAAATATATTTCAAAGTATTCAACAACCAATACTGTTTCCATTATCTTAATAAACAGCAATTTTTAGCATAAGCTTGTCACAGCTAAACACCCTACTGAAGTCCCTCATTCCAAGCTAATATGGAAAATTTAAAAATTACTGTTCAAATTTGTATCTCTAAAGAAACATATATAGAAGGTGCTTTGGGTTCTCTTTTTGCTATGTACTTTAAGAGACAATAGTTAAATCATTAATCTGAGGTTCAATAAATGGGCATTATCCCCTGGAAGGAATTCTTAAAAAATTCAGACAGCTGTAGCCTAGTGGAGAGAGCACTAAATTTGAAGCCAAGATCAGCACACATGGTCAATGGTTTTTTGAGACTGTTCATATCACTTAATTTGTTTTTAGAACTCAAACATGAAACTCCATCCTACATATTTCAGAATTTCTTGTCTCAGTTTTTTTCTACACATTATTTTTCTCATAATCAACAACTTATTGAGAACCTACTAAGTGCCAGGAAATATACTAGGTAGGTTTTGTTATTCTAATGAGGAACTGAAGACATTATAATAGAAACATGACCTTTTTGTTTGGAAGGTTTTAGTATCAAGTGAATGAAGTTACACATCGTATTGAATTAAAAAATAGCTAAGGCCTAGAAATAGCTTCCAAACTTAAAGTTCAAACATAAGGGGATATCTATCGAGGCTCACAAGGGAAAAACGGTGAACTAAATATTTGCTAACTAGATATTTTGAATTACTTCTGTTTACAGTACCATGCAACTCAAAGAAAATATACTTGAAACAATTAAGTGAAAAATACTTAAACTTATGTAGAAATAACCAGGAAATGAAATGACAGAATCAAGAAGCCATACTCTTTCTCATTGGTTGCTTGTCTTCTTACTTTCTCTGCACTAAACCTATGAAAAGCCTACTTTGAGGAGATAACCGAGAGAAATGTCAAGCGAAGTACAGGAACAAGCAATGACAGTGATATTTTATGAAAGTGTACAAGATTTAACAGACGCATACCACACACTATGAAAAAAGTTACGAAATGTAAACACAGGTGGGGTTTTAATGAAGCAGCATTCAGATAGAAATTAATACAGAAGCTTTATTAACACAGCAAATCTGTCCTACTAACCTAATCTGGTCAACCCTTTCCATATAACAGTTATGAAACAAGCATATTCTTCAGCAGGCTTCTCATAAAATTCCAGAGATTTTAAAGGAAAGCCTAAGAACTAGACATCCTTTTCCCGTTAAAATGTGAATTGGATTTAAAGATGTCGTTTGGAATGCAGCAGCAATCAATTCTGGGAAGCAAATGTATACAGAAAAAAACCGAAATAATATATACACAGATTTAACGCAGACACGAGTGTGACGAAATATCAACGACAGGCTCTAATTAGTTTCAAATGATTATGAGTCAACATAAACCTTTAACATACGCTCTCTTAAAGTCAAAATGTTTTAAGATTTAGACCCAGAGAATAGGCAGTCTGACGGTCAAAAAGGGGAAATCCTTTTTTTCCACCATTTTCTAACGAAGCCTGTCTCCCCCAATTATAAAAACTTTTGTAGATTGGTCTAAACCGTGAGCTGCGTGGAGACAGCGGAAGCGAGGTATCCTCAATGAATAACTAAACCATCTCCATAAATTAATGTCTTCCCTTGACTAGAAATCAGTTCAGGGTAAAAAGCATGTACGAATTCCGCCGTAATATGAAAAGGGGTTAGTGGGCAGGGAACGAGAATACAGAAGGGGCACTAAAACATGTTTAGTTAACAGCGCTCAAAAGTCTCCACACAACCCGTATTCCCCTCCATCTCAATCAGACCATGCTATTCTCTCCTCGTCCGAAGGATTAGGGGTCAGAGAGAGGATGTGGGGTCAAAGTGGCGTCTCCTACAGGTCCCCTCCCTGTGTCCCCTCGGTTGAGCCCAGATCTCCACTCTGAACCGACCTAAGAGCTGGTCCAGGGCTGGGAGCCCGGTTGATACCAGCAGCTGTCCATTCCGCACCGACGGTCGCGTGCCCGTAATGGACACCAGTCGAGGGCCGCTGTCGTTGGTCCCGCTGACTCTAGGACCCCTCCTCTGGAAACTCGTGACGTTGCTCTTGCTGGCTGTCGCCACCGCAGACCCAACACCCACGGCGTCACCGCCGCAGGTTGCCACTGTCGCCATTTTGAAGCCTCCCAAGTTAACCCAATAGGAACTCTGGGAACGCAAACCTCCGGCCTGTCAGAGACGTTCCCAAACTCCCGCCTCCTCGCCCCTTCCGCGGCTCTCGTAACCAATAGGACTGAGACGTCCCTCCCGAGCCAGCCAATCGGAAGGCGCATTGCTGAAAAGTGCTCTTGCGTAAGGACGTTCGACTTCTGTGGAGCCCAGGTGAGAAAGGCCCTCCTGTGTCCCGGTTGAGGGTCTTCAGGGTTCTTTGGGGCCAGAGGTGGGTAATATGTAATGTTCTTCTCCTGTTGAGTGCCTTCATTCACACTGAGTTTAAGAAAAGGTTGGTGAACCGATAAACCTCAGGGCTTAGGGCTTATCAAACAATTGCTAGTAGCGTGCACCTTTCTCCGCTGTGTTTGAGGAGAGACTTTTTCCTGCTCATTTCTCTTTTGATTTCTGAGAGAAAATTCACTCCGCCTTCCCCACGATGTCTTTTTCTTAATTTTGTGTTATATGGAAAGGATGGGGCCTCTTAACCTTAATGAGTTGCTTGCTGAACGTCCGGGCTTAGTTCGCTTGTGCCTAGTGGTAGGTGGTTTGGATTTAGACCTTAGAGCGAAAACTCTTGAACTTTGAGGCTATCTGGTTTTCCTGCATCTGACAAAATATACCTCTCTGATAAGTTCCAATAAGGAGCTTTCGTTAATTTTAGTGCTTCTGGAAGTCGTCAATGTCTTTCCTCACCGGTGTAAATGAGAAGTGTTACTCTGACAACCGTGTTCACACATTTAATTGCGTTTGCTGTTAAAGCCGCTGCAAATAACAGAAAATACTTTGGGTATCTTTCCCCAAAAAACTGCTAGGAAGAATTAGGAATGTACTTACTTTATTTTGTGAACCTTGAATCGAGAGTTTATTACTAAAATAGGGATTTTATATATGGGGGAAAAACATGTATTTTGAGTTGTATTTTTGTGTTTAATTTTTTTCTGAAAATTGAGCATGGATCCCCCTGCTCAGTGGGTAAGTGATGTTTAAAGGCAATCATGATTGACAAACGTCTAAATTAAAAAGGACTCCCAAATCATTCCTGCACTGCTGAGTTACTGACTTTGACAGCAATCTGTGATACCTTTTAATTAGACCCAAACCTCATTGAAATTCTTGCCATTGAATTGTTTTAAATCTCACTGACCTGTTGAAATTTTTAGGCTGATTCTATTTGATAAATTGAAGTTAGTATTGCTAAAGAGTGACTGGAGTTTTTCATTTGGGGAGGAGTTTTGTCTGTTTGCTTGTTTTTTAGAACCATGTTTAGGAAAAAACTATTTCACATTATATCCACTGGAAAGCTTTGATCAAGGTTGCTTTCATATTGAATTTCAAATCTAAGTTACTCAATAAATAACTGTTGAGTGATTACTGTCTGCTTGGACTTAATCTTGTCATTTTAGAGTTATAGTAATAAAAATCTGGAGAAGATAAAATTAACACATAGAAAGCAACATATTACTCAAAATGAACACGTTAAATAGTATGTGCTAATTTTATCCTGTAGTAAATAAGCACTAAGACCAAAACAAAAAGTGACAAAGCAGTCCAATATCAGATAGAAACTTCTTCAATATTTTTTTTCTTTAACTTTATTTTAGGTTCTGGGCTTCATGTGCAGGATGTGTGGTTTTGTTACATAGGTAAAGGTGTGCTGTGGTGGTTTGCTGCACAGGTCAACCCATCATCTAGGTATTAAGCCCAGCATCCATTAGCTATTCTTCCTGAGGCTCTCTGTTCCTCCACCACCACAAATATTTTTGATGCTCTGAAATTTTTGAAATACTACATATAATTATTGTTTTTTGACAGATAGCATTGTTTGTATTGCGTACCACATGATACTATGAAATATATGTACATTCTGGAATGGTTAAATCTAGCTAATTAGCAATGTATTACCTCAGCTAGTTATCACTTTTGTCGTAAGAGTACATAACATCTACACTCTGCATTTTTTAAGGAATACAATATATCATCATTGTAGTCAACTTGCTATAATTTTATGATATATAATAGATTTTTTGAAATTTAGTCCTCCTATCTAATTGTAATTAAGTATCCTTCGCCAAGTTCTCTCCATCCCCACTCCAACCATCCTGGCTTCTGGTAAACACTATTATACTTTCTACTTCTATGAGATTAACTACTAGATTCCACCTATGAGTGAGATCATGTGCTATTTGTCTTTCTGTGCCTGGCTTATTTCACTTAACATAATGGTATAATTAGTTTTTAAAGGCTTCTGTAGTACATATTCCTTTGTTTCCTACTGTATTTACTTAACACTTTAGATTTCCAAAAATGATGGTAGTGGTGCTTTGTTTGCCTCATTACTAGAACTGAAGAATTCTTTTCCAACTTCGACTATAATTCTTGAAAGATGATCTATGTACACACCAAAATATTCATGAATTTAGAATATATCTCTGGCATAACACTGTCATAGAATAAATCTGCTTTTTTTGTTTTTTTTACAAAGATAAAAGCTTTGCTCCCAAATAAGCTCAGATTCTCGAACTTACCAGCGTACAGTAGAGTTCACTATAAAACATAGGAATAAATGAAGTATTCATGGAAAGGAAGACTTAAAAGTTATATGTTTAGGTGTGTTATTAATTAATTAATTCTTTATGAAGGACATACTAAATTCCAAGAAGTCCATCAGAGCTCAGGTTACAGGAGAAAAGTATACTGGCTCCTTACTTCTTGAGTTCACAGCTAGGGAAGATAGATGGGTAAATAGGCTTATAAAGTACAGTTAACCCATGAACAATGTGGGGATCAGGGTGCTGACCCCCACACCCATGTAGCTAAAAACGCACATATAACTTTTGACTCCTCTCAAACTTAACTGCTAATGGTCTACTTTTGACTACTGGAAGCTGTACCAATTAACATCTGTGGATTAACATATAATTTGTATGTTATATGTATTGTATACTGCATTCTTACCATGAAGTAAGCTAGAGAAAAGAAAATGTTAAGCAAATCATAGGAAGAAAATATATTTGCCATGCATTAAGTGGAAGTGAATCGTGATACAGGTCTTCATTCTTATCTTCTTCATGTTGAGTAGGCTGAGGAGAAGGAGGAAGAGAAGGGGTTGGTCTTGCAATCTCAAGGGTGGCAAAGACCCAGAAGGTAGAAGGGGAGGCAGGAAAGGTAGGTGCACTCAATATAGCTTTATGGAAGTTCATCCTAATTTGTCTGTTTTGCCTTTTCAGCTCTCTAAAAATGTTTCTGTACAGTACCAATTCTTCTTCTGCTGTTTGCTTTATTTTCAGTGTCTGTGTTATAGTAGGCATCCAGGGCAGGAGAAGTCAAAACAGTCTTGAATAACTGGAACAACACTTCTGCCAGATTGCCTAGCATCAGTTTGTTTTCTGGCACTGCTTCTTCTACTTCTTGTCATCTGGCACTGTTTGGAAGCATTCATCTCCATCAACTCATCTTCTGTTAATCCCTCTGGTGTGGTTTCTGTTGGCTCTTGAATTTCTCCAGTATCTATATCTTAAACTCTTCCCTCCTAATATTTTTTTTTTCAATATCCACAATCTTCCTCATGACTTCCTTGATTGACTGTTGTAAATCCTGCAGGAAACCAATTTGAGATAAATAGAAAATATATGATGAACATGATAGGCAATTAGCACACCCTCTGATGAAAGTGGACACCTCTTCAGTTGTTTTTTCAGTGACTTCTCTAGCCCTGCAGTCCATATCACTTTTGTGTCTGTGCAGATAAAGTGTATAGCAGAGATACTGTGAAGGCTGTACTGGGCCTGCTGGTATTCCAGCAACACAATTGAAGGAATGAATACTAAGGTCATGCCTACACAGATGTAATTTCTCAACCTGTGGTAATTTTTTTCCCCCCTATAGTTATTCTCAAAGAAAAACTATAGTCCTGAGTTATAGCACCACAGATTTCTTTCACTGTTGTTCTACTTTTCTACTTTTATTATACTCTCTGCTTGTATGAGATCAACTATTAGAGTCCATTAGATCTACTGTTAGAGTCTGTGTTTGACTTCTTTTGCTTAACATTATTTTTGTGAAATGATTCTTGTTAATGTGTATTGTGGCTGATCTATTCTTATTGCTGTATGGAATTATATAAATGTATTACAGTTCATTATTTGTTCTACTATTAAAAGGGATTTGGATAGTTTCCCATTTGTGGCCATTTTTTCAATGCAATTCTACCAGTTTATACTCTTACCAGGAGCAATTGAGAATTTTTATTACTTCTCATCCTTATCAACACAGTATTTTTCTTTCTTTTCATTTTAGCTATTAAAGAGGGTTGTGGTATGGCCTTGTCATCTGAATTAGGACTGATGAAGTTGAGCACCTGTTTATTTGCTTATTGGCCATTTGGGTAAATGCTTTTGTGAAAGGGTCTATTCATATTTTTTAATTTTAAAAATTTGGATCTGCCTCTCTCCCACGGATTTGTAGGAGTTCTTTTACATTTTAGATGAGTTCATTTTCAAATAAATTCATTACAAGTATCTTCTGTCAGTCTGTGGCTTGTTTTTTCATTTTCTTGTCTTTTTATTTTAGTCAAAATATATTTTGACTTATCAATTTTATCTTTTTGGCTAGTGCTTTATGGCTGTGTTTGCTATTCCAAAATTTTGAAGATGATCTCCATGTTTTGTTTTTCTAAAAGCCCTGATGTTTTACTTTTAATATTTGTGGCTGCACTTTGTTGGAATTGACTTGTGTGTGTTTGGTGTGAGGCAGTGGTAAAGACGCGTTTGTGTTTCCTATATTGGTATCCTATTAACCTAGCACCATTTATTGAAAAAAAGATCTTTCCTTGCTATGTTTACTCATCTTTTTTTTCTTTTTTTTTTTTGAGGTAGAGTCTTCCTCTGTCACCCAGGCTGGAGTGCACTGGCACAATCTCAGCTCACTACAACCTTTGCCTCCTGGGTTCAAGCGATTCTCCTGCCTCAGCCTCCTGAGTAGCTGGGACTACAGGTGCGTGCCACTACACTCAGCTAATTTTTGTATTTTTAGTAGAGACAGGGTTTCACCATGTTGACCAGGCTGGTCTCAAACTCCTGACCTTGTGATCCATCCACCTCGGACTCCCAAAGTGTTGGGATTATAGGCACGAGCCACTGCACCCGGCCGCATCATCACTTTATTAATAAATAAAGTCACACATAAATTAGGCAGATTTCATTTTGAACTGTCCATTGGTTAGTATGTGTCTTCAGGTTCTTCAGGAAGCTGGCTTCCTTTCAGAATTTTAGCCACACTGTACTGTGCTGACCTCAGGTTAAATCAGTAAAAACGGGAAACTCACCCTGTGGCAATTCTTTCTTACCTAAGTCTGACTACCCAGCATGTTTGCTTCTGTAGAGCCGCGACTCTGTCTCAAAAAAAAAAAAAAAAAAAAATCTGTAGAGCCTTCATGTAATTTTTTGTCTTTTGTTCAGCGTTTATAGTTGTTATCTATGGTAGGATTGTTCAGTGTTTATAGTTGGTTATCTATGGTAGGATTCCAGTATAGCAAAGAAAGCTTATAACCTTATAGCAAAGAAAGCTTATAACCTTAGTTTGGTAAGGTTATAAGCTTTCTTTGCTATACTGGAATGAGCTCTTTCTATCCTTTTGTGACTGCAGTAATTTCTTCTTTTATTTATTGCTGATAAATAAATATCAGCAATTGATAATGAGTTTCTTTTCTTTTTTTCTTTATTGTTAAATTTTGCTGGGGATTTTTCAGTTAATCTTTTTTTTAAAAACCCCCAAATTTGGCTTTATTGGTTTTCTCAGTGTTTACTTTCTACTATTGAATCAATTACTACTCTTTATTATTTTTTCCTTCTACATTCCTTAGTTTTGATTTGCTGAGGTTTGTTTGTTCTCCCTTCTTATACTAAAATCTTAATTTATTGATTTTCTGCCTTTTCTAATAGATCATATATAGTTAGGGTATGCTCTAGCTGTTCCTACAACTATGGCATTTTATGTTTTAATCGTTTATTTCAAAATATTTACTAATTTTTGTTTTGATTTTTCTCTTTGGTCCGTGGATTATTTAGGACATTTTTGAAAGTGCTGAAATGCTGAATTATATTGGATGCTAGGAAAGCAGAAGTCAGCTGGTATTGACCAGGGCAAAAGAGTACTTATAGTCATCATAATTTTAGTAGATTTTAAGGTATAAACAGAAAACTGGGGAGTTTAAATTTAAAAAGCCATTGTATAGTCATGTCTCAGAACGTGCAGTGTAATAGGGTAAATGCGTCCAAGTGTAAACATGTTTTAGTTCAAGATTTGTCAAGTAAATCTATCTACAAGAAAAAATAAAGGCAAACGATGTTTTTAATGGTCAACACAAAAGCATTAAAATTTTTAGCAAAAAAAGAAAAAGAAATTTCAGAGAATGCTCCAACATTTGTATATTATTCAGTCTGGGACTTTTCTTCATATTTGCATGTTGCCAACATGAGGAATTAAAGAACGGCTGACTGGTGTTTCTCTTACATGTCAACTAGAGTCTCATAGGCATAGAGCTACTGTGTTAATCAAAGCATGTGTGATGTTCTAATTATCATGGATATTTCGGCTGAGATTTGATCAATTTCCCTTCAGTTTGAATAATTCTGGAAGCCCGGGAGTAGGCCAGATATTTAAACTATTCCATATGAAGCTTCTTAAATCACATCTACTGATTTTCCATGAAGGGACCCCCGGGCTACTGAAGCTCCTCTCTAAAGAAATATTTAATTCCTGGACCAATGGGTAGTATTACAGTGAAATTGATTATTTTAACTACTGTTTCTCAGTTTAAGAGTCTGGATATGAAGTATGTTTTGATGAGTTTCTTGCAGGATAAGATCAAAGTTAGATATCCTAGCAAACATTGTTTTCATTAACTCAGAACCAAATTGGATCCATTTATTACCACAATTTAAAAAATTGCTAATGGCTCTTGTTCTATATAATTATCCTACCTCATTTTGAATTCTGTTTTCTTAGGAAACTTTTTTTATTGTTACTTTCAAATTTGATATCATTTATTACATTGTCAATCTTGAATTATTTTATAATCTCTTCCACATCTATGATCATATTTACTTTCTCATTTGTAGTACTGTATCTTTGAATTTTTTCTCAATTTACATTTTTTCTCCCTGACTTTGAAGGATTTTAGAAATATCTATTTCAGTGATATCTTGATACAACGAGGTCTTAGATTTATGCATTAATTATTTTCTTTTTCTTTCTTTTTTTTTTTTTTGAGACAGTTTCACTCTGTTGCCTAGGGTGAATTGCAGTGGCATGATCTTGGCTCACTGTAACCTCTGCATCCCAGGTTTAAGTAATTCTCATGCCTCAGCCTCCCAAGTAGCAAGGATTATAAGCATATGTTACTATGTCCAGCTAATTTTTGTTTTGTTTTGTTTTTTTTTTTTTAGTAGAGGTGGGGTTTTACTGTGTTGGCAAGGCTGGGCTCAAACTCCTGGGCTCAAGTGATCCACCTGCCTCAGCCTCTCAAAATGCTGAGATTACAGGCATGAGCCACTATGCCCAGCCATTATTTTTATTTCTAAAACCCCTAATTTCTGTGTTTTTCTACATGTATTTCTTCTTCCTGCTTCTCTGAGTGTCTTTTGCCATTATGTGCTGCCGTAACAGAATACCTGAGATTGGGTCATTTATAATGAACAGAAATTTATTGACTCACAATTCAGGAAACTGCGAAGTCCAAGACTGAGGGGCTGGTGTCTGGCGAGGGTGTCCTTGCTATGTCATTACATGGTGGAAGGGCCCAAGAGAGGGCAAGAGAAAAAAAGAGAGTTAACTCTCAGCCTCAATCCCATTTATAGTTTGTGCTAATCCATTCATGACTGTGGAGCCCTCAGACCTAAACACCTCTCAGTTGACCTCACCTCTCAAATTACGCTGGGAATTAAAGTTCCAATAGGTGCTTTTTGGGGGACACATTCAGACTGTAGCATTTATGTATGTTTTTTCAGTGTAGCAATTGTTACAGCAATAATTAAAATGCAGTTAAGTAATCTATTGTGGTAATATCCAGATGAGCTCTGTCCAGTAGAACCTCCTGTGTTGATGGAAATGTTCTGTATCTACACTGTCCAGTATAATAGTCATTAAACATATATGATTATAGAGTACTTAAAATGTGACTGATATGACAGAGGAACTGAATTTTAGTCTTATTTAATTTTAATTATTTTAGGTTATTTATTTAAACAGCTACATGTGGCTAGTTTGTACTATATTAAATCACACAGCTCTAGATCAAGATTTGGCAACCTTTTCCTATAAAAGACCAAATAGTAAATATTTTGGGCTTTGTGGTCCATATGGTCTCTATTGCAACTATTCAACTGCTGTGGGAGCACAAAAGCAGTCACAGATAACATGTAAATGAATGAGCAAGAATTTGTCCCAGTAAAACTTTATTTGCTGAAACAGAGTCTGCTGAATTTGACCCATGGGCCCTCGTTTGGCAACCTCTGCTCTAGATTTAAAAAAAAAGTGTCTACAGCTCTATGTATTTTTATTTCATTTGCTGTGTGTTCCCTGAGTCCTTTCAAGACCCCCCTTTGGTGCGGTGGCGGTGGGGAGAGCAGGGAGGAGAGAGAGAGAGAGAGTGTGTATGTGTCTGTGTCTGTGTGTTTGTGTGTGTGTCTGTGTGTGTGTGTGTGTGTGTGTGTGTGTATGTGGAATAGATTTTTGGAGGGGAGAGAGGAGTGACTTTTCCTGAAAGTTTAGGAATATACACTCCTTTGGATTGTTCCTTTTTGACTTTTTCTCCACCTTTTCTATTTTTTGTGAATGGGAGAAGGTGATGGCCGACAGGCATATGTTTTATGTTTATACTCTTTTCTTTTAATTCTCTGCCTCTCCTTTTACAGATGCAATATCTTTTCAATATCTCTACCAACGTTAAATAGATTTCCTTTCCTTTTTTTCTCTCTGAATTACGTCTGATTTCTCTAGGGTTGCTTATTCAGATTAGTTATTTTCATTATGGATCTTCTTTCTTAAGCTTGTAGTTTCCTTAACTGTGGGCTATTTATTCACGTTCATAAATAAAGAGTTGAATAATATAAATAACTGGAGTAGGTTTTCTCTGTCTTTGTTTTTCCAACAAATCTTTAGCTTAAATGAAAAAAATAGTCTGACCAATTTTCTTGTGGGTTGGTAGGACTTAATGTATTGGTATGCCTTAATTTATTGGTGTGCTTTGCTTCAAAGTGCAGGAGCAGGTACACTTACCCAGTCCTTCTCTAATAGCTAAATAAAGATGCCCCTATACTGGCTCTCCAACCTCCATACTTGAACACCAAATTCTTTTCAGGCAGATTACACCGTTTTAACTTATTTATTTATTTTAGCCTCCAGAACTGCTGATTTAGCTCTGAACCCCTTTGGAGCCACAGGATGAAACGTCCCATATTCCTGAAGCATTTTCATGTGTTTGTGCTTGACTTGAGGTGGGCATACATTTTCTGGGACTGGATAGTAGGTATTTTAGGTTTTGCGGGTAATAACGAAATCTTAACTCTGCCATGGGAAAGTAGCCTGAGATAACATTAACAAATGAGCATGGCTGTGTTTTTATAACACTTTGTGTACACTGAAATTTGAATTTTGTGTAGTTTTCACGTTAGAAAATATGCTGCTGCTTTATTCTTTCAGCCATTTAAAAATGCAAAAGCATGTGATGGGCTGGGAGATTTGCCCTGTGAACCATACTTTGCCAGCTATGTCTTGACTTACTCACTCCATTCTTTTCAACCTATCACTATGGTTTTTTTTTTTTTTTTTTTTTCTTTTTTTTTTTGAGACGGAGTTTTGCTCTTGTTACCCAGGCTGGAGTGCAATGGCGCGATCTCGGCTCACCGCAACCTCCGCCTCCTGGGTTCAGGCAATTCTCCTGCCTCAGCCTCCTGAGTAGCTGGGATTACAGGCACGTGCCACCGTGCCCAGCT